TTTATCTAAAACTCTCTAATACATAAGTTTCTGTGTATTTGTTTCTCTAAAGTACTCAGACTAACACATAAACAGCAGGTTTATAGGGGTTTTTTGCATTTACTAGGGGGTTTGTGTAATGAACTATTTCAGGAACACCGCCCCCCAAAAAAAGTTTCACGAATAATTATATGTTCTATGTATACTCTTCATCCTTCCTCCTCAATCAATGTCCTCTCTTACTTGCCAGAGGTTAACTACTATTCTATTTTAATTCTCTGACCTATGTACAAGGGGGCTTCAAAAAGCTTTTCACGGAAAAACTCTTATTATCTCTCAATTCCATTTTTCCACCGTTTTGAAGCCCCCTTGTATAGAATGAGGGGTTACCCCCGCCAACAAAAATGGATTTTTTTTCAAAGCTATGTATTTAAATTTTTTTACAAAACAACCTTCAAAGTACTCTCTATGACACTCAATATATTTGTCAAATCTGCCGCAATTCCATCCCTTGGAAGTATTTTTCAAACTCATCTGTTTGGATGGCTGGCAGCACCTCCCGTGTTTTTTCCTTCATCACTTCTACGTCCTCAAATCACTGTTTTTTCATGTCCCTCTGGATTCCTGAAAACAACCATCAGTTGCACAGAGTGAAATCAGGTGAGTCAGGTGTGTGGGGCAAGAGAAACATGCTGTTTTTTGCCAAAAACTGGTGCGCTGAGATAGCCACATGAGCAGGTGCATTGTCATGGTGGCAAAACCAGTCCCCGTCTGCCACAAATCAGTCCTTTTTTTGTTGCACACTGTTATACAATCTTTTCAGAACCTCTAAACAGAAAGCTTGATTAACAGTCTGGCCTGGTGGAATGAACACCAAATGCACTATGAGTCAACATTTTGGGGAAGTTGACGGATGTCCAGCATGAGATTTGTCCTCAATCGACATTGCGCCTTTTTTGAAATGAGAAAACTACTCATACACTTGAGTTTTTCCCATAGCACTGTGCCTGTATGTGGTGTTCAATATCACAACAGTTTCTGCGGCATTTTTCTCAAGGAGGAAACAGAATTTCACAGCCTTTCACAGCTGCATGCTGTTCTCTTAAATCGGCCATCGCAATAAAACAAGACTCAAACAAAACTGCTTTTATGAAAAAATTCACTGTGACCAGAGAGAACTTTCCCAGGCAATGCCACTGGGTGCACTAACTCAGAGCGAGTTGCTCAATGTCCACCTAGCAGGAAAAATTCGTACTACAAAACCTCCCTCCACCCTGTACAATTCTGGTTTTGGGGGGGCACCCCCCCAGCATGCACAACTAACCACTAACATCTCATGTGAGTACATGTCTTCTCGCTAGTTTTATTTTTTAACCAACATTCAGTTTCTGAGATTTGTCTTTGTTGAAACGCTCATTTTTTTCACAACTATCTAGGGTTTTGTTGTATAACTAGATTTTGGCTTTTAATAATCGCTGATCCAGGGGCAGGGGGGTGGGAGAGAGGGAGGGTGAGGGGATTTAGGGAGTACACAATGAATGTGGGAGGAGGGAGGGAGCGCTAGAACTGATTTGTGATTACACAACTCA